TCAGCTGTTAGGATTTCTGGAAGTTGAAGACCAAAACATCTAGGGACCCACAGGTTGAGAAACACTGGCCTAGTGGATCACTATAGGTTTCCAATTAAGTTTTGGAGGGCACGTGCCAACAACATTGAACCTATTCCAATGTGAAAGTGTTCCAGTTGTTGAACCCAAAATTAGAAGTTAGAGCAAATTCATGATGTGAATGGCATGCAGTATGTGGAAGCGCTTGAGACCATACAGCAAACCATGTTTTGTGGTTGTGACATCTGAATTCTCCCACTGCTCTTAATTGGAAATAAGGCAAGTTTTGTGTGTGTGTGTCAGGAGCAACTTGAGAAACTGCAAGTTGCTTCTGGTATGAGAGAATTGGCCGTCTGCAAGGACGTTGCCCAGGGGATACCCAGATGATTTGACGTTTTTATCATCCTTTTGGAAGGCTTCTCTCATGTCCCCGCATGAGGAGCTGGAGTTGGGTTCGAACGTGCAACCTGTCAGTCTTCAGTCCTGCAAGTCAGGTTAATATATCTGTGGAATAATGTCCAGGATGGGAGGAAGAACTCTTGTCTGTAATCAGGGCTGGTTAACACCTCCCAACAAAGGATTTCCCCAGGAAGCAACCATCCAGGCTTTGAAGCTGCAAGGCCATTTGATGCTAATCAAGGTGGCCAATTGCAACATTCACGCTTTCCCTAAACAGACAAGAGTTCTTTCTCCCACCCTGGACATTATTCCACAGATATATAAACCTCACTTGCCTAGTTTCCAGCAGACCTCATAACCTCTGAGGATACCTGTCATAGATGTGGCCAAAACGTCAGGAGAGAATGCTTCTGGAACATGGCCATACAGCCTGGAAACCTCACAGCAACCCAGTGATTCTGACCATGAAAGCCTTTGATGATACAAAAGGCCATTGGTATTTACTGGGGTTTGGTTTAGGATCCTTTTTGGATGCCAAAATTAGTGGATGCTGAAGCCAAACAATATATATAATGGCATAGTAAAATGGTCTCTTATATAAAGTGTTAAAATCAAGCATTGTTGGGGGGATATTTTTTACATATCTAGGAATCCTTGTAATGCACACTGTCTTCTGTTTGCCCCACTACAGCTTGGAAGAACTTCTGACCACTCAGTGTGACAGGTTCACCCCAGAAGAGGTAAGGCACTAGGTCCTCATCATGTGCTGTCCTAATCTATTCTTTACTTACCAATATTCCTCCTGCTCATTCCTGTCTTCTGAATTTTCCTCCACGATGCTCTGCATGGGTTAGCATACTGAATTTAGGATGACATGCTACATTTGGAAGTTAAGCCCAACCCCAAAATCTTTTACTCATAAATGGATAATAAAAATTATTCTGAGTATGCTCATAAGGCCTTTCTATCATCAGATAATGGTAGATACTGTATATACTCGAGTATAAGCCGACCCGAATACCAATAAAATTACATTAATTGAGGCATCAGTAGGTTAAATGTTTTTGAATATGTTTTTGAATATGTACATAAAACTGTAATTTAAGATAAGATTTTCCAACTATGTTTAAACCATTATTCTTTTTTTTCTAACCTTTTTCGATGTAAATGTGCTTACATATCCAATAATGATAGAGTAAAATAATAAATGTAATAAAAATAATAATAGAGTAAAATAATAAATGTAATAATAATAGAAGATAAAAATAATGTATTTTACTCTTCTATTATTATTACATTTAACAGCATTCCATGAAGTCATGCTGGCCACATGACCTTGGAGGTGTCTATGGACAATGCTGGCTCTTCGTCTTAGAAATGGAGATGAGCACCAACCCCCAGAGTTGGACACAACTGGACTTAATGTCTGGGGAAAACCTTTACCTTTAAAATAATGTAAATGTAATAATAATAATAAATAGAGTAAAGTAATAAATGTAATGATAATAATAATAACAGCAGCAGCAGCAGAGTAAAATGATAAATAACTTTGACTCGAGTATAAGCCAAGGGGGGCTTTTTCAGCCTAAAAAAAGTTGAAATTCTCAGCTTATACTTGAGTATATACAATAGATTGTAGGCATGTGCAATCCATGCTTCTAAATGGTTCTAAAGTACTTACAAAACTAAAATTCTGGTGGTGAAAACTAGGGGACGCTGGTGCTTTGCTTCTAAAGTATTGCTAAAGTTCTGGTGATGAAAATTTCAGAACTCTAATAAAACTTTCAAAATTTCATTATTGATTATTTTTATGTCAGAACCAATTAGGAACTGCCATTTATAATGAAATTTTGAAAGTTTTGTTAGAGTTCTGAAATTTTCACCACCAGAACTTTAGCAACACTGAGGAAGCAAAGCACCAGCGCCCCCTAGTTTTCACCACCAGAACTATAATTTTGTAAGTACTTTAGAACCATTTAGAAGCATGGATTGCACATGCCTAGTAGGTAGATGACAGTCAGAGGGAAACATGGAATAGTCACAGTAGATTTCAGGGAAGGACAAACCTTTTAACATTATTATTAAATAGAGCTTTTGTTGAAGAGGACTCTTTGTTCCTTATGCTCTCCTTTCACCTTTTTAGTATTCTTCTTTTTTAAAAAAAACAACAACCCCAAATCTGTTTGTAATTTTCACCCTCTTTTCTCTCTCTCGCAGATCAAGAACATGTGGCAAGCCTTCCCCCCAGATGTAGCCGGCAACGTTGACTACAAGAACATTTGCTATGTCATCACACACGGAGAGGACAAGGAAGGGGAATAAGCGCTCCCTGTTTCCCACCCTTGCTCTGTGGGGGAATCCACCCAAAGACCCCCAGGCTGGGGAAGTTCCCCTTATGCTGGTCCCGGATGATCCACACACTTTTGTACCCCAACAGTATACATGTGAATCTGTTATTTATTACGATTATTATTATTATTTGGGGAAGGAAAAATATGCCTCTCCAAAGCCAATCTCCTGCCCACCTCAATTAGTCTTAACCTAACTGGGACCTTCCTCTGTAAAATGTCTTAATAAAGATGAGGACAGCTCTGTTTCTAATGCCCCTGTTGTTATAGTCTGTCTGTCTGTCAGAAAGGAAGAGTAAGTCGTGACATGATAGATATCTTTACAAAGCTGAAGGGATAGAGCATAATAGGCACCAGTTATGTTCTCAAGTGATTCACAGAGTTAACATTTTTCAGCTTTGGTAGAAAATCAAATATCGGCTCCTCTCCTTACTTTGGGTTGCTTAAAAGGGGAAAACATAAACATGCTGAGTATCCCTTATTCAAAAGACTTTGGACCAGAAGCATTTGAGGTTTCTGATTTGATTTAGGAATTTACATATACTGTCCACAATGAGCTATCTTGGAGGTGGGACCCAAGTCTAAAAGTAAAACTCATGTGTGTCTCATCTACTTCTTAGACCACTGTTTCTCAACCTTCCTGATGCCGTGACCCCTTAATATAGTTCCTCATGGTGTGGTGACCACCAATCATAACATTATTTTCATTGCTAATTCATAATTGTAATTTTGCTACTGTTATGAATTGTAATGTAAATATCTGATATGCAGGATGTATTTTCGTTCACTGGACCAAACTTAGCACAGATTCCCGATATGCCCAAATTTGAATACAAGTGGGGTTGGGGGGGGGGGGGGGGGGGGGGGGGGGGGGGGAGTGACTTTGTCATTTGGGAGTTGTAGTTGCTGGGATTTATAGTTCACCTACAATCAAAGCGCATTCTGTACTCCACCAACGATGGAATTGAACCAAACTTGGCCCCCAGAACTCCCATGACCAACAGAAAATACTGGAAGGGTTTGCTGGGCATTGACCTTGAATTTAAGAGTTGTACTTCACCTACATCCAGAGAGCACTGAGGTTTGAAACAATGATACGAAGGTTGAATAAAAAGTAATGCCTCCACCTTCGTAACTCCTCAACAGATGGCAGTACTGGTATGCGGCAGGTACTGGCTTGTTCAGTAGACTCTCATCTACAGTTCAATTTTGGTGGGAAGCCTTAGCATTGAACGGTTGTGTTGTTAAAGTGCAAAGTATGGAACCCTGCACAGATGGTCAGTCAATGGGACTTAAGCAGTGTGAAGTCATTGAATTCTTTACTGCAGAAAGTGTCACCTCAACATCTTTACACTTACTCGCCCAATAACGCACAGTACTCACATCAACACAATCACCATAAACAACTTGCATTCTCTGATGAATCTCCTTTGGGGTGACACCTTCTGCTGTCAAGAATTAAATTACTACACGTTGCTTAAGTCGCATTGACCGACCATCTGTGCAAGGTTCCATACTTCGCACTTTAACTTAGCAACACAACCATTCAACGCTAAGGCTTCCCACCAAAATGGAACTGTAGAGGAGAGTCTACTGAACAAGCCAGTACCTGCCACATACCAGTACTGCCATCTGTTGAGTTACGAAAGTGGAGGCATTACTTTTCTTTCAACCCTCGTAGATCTGGACCAAACTTGGCATGAATACTCAATATGCCCAAATGTGAACACTGGTAGAGTTTGAGGGAAATAGACCTCGACATTTGGGAGTTGTAGTTGCTGGGATTTATAGTTCACGTACAATCAAAGAGCATTCTGAACCCCACCAGTGATCAAATTGGGCCGAACTTCCCACACAGAACGTCCACGCCTTGAAGGAACTCTCTGGCACAAGCATCCCTCCAGCCTCACACACACTCCCTCTCCCACACATGCGCACCACGCTGCCATGTGCCAAGCATGTCTGCTCTCCCCTCCTCACTTGGAGTCTCAGAAACAGCCCTCCCCACGGCTGAGAGGCCAGCCAATCACAGAGAAGGAGGGTTTTTGGTGGGGGATTTAGCCGTCTGTTTCCAAAAAGGAAGAGGACAGGCAGAAAGGTCTTCAGCCTTCTCTGCCAAAGGATTTCCTAAGACCATCAGAAATATACGTTTTCCTGATGGTCTTTGGTGACCCCTCTGAAACCCCCTCATGACGCCCCCTCCCTGGTTGAGAAACACTGTCTTAGACACATAGCTTGAAGATAAATTTATATAATTTTTTAAAAAAATGTGCACAAAAAGAAGTTTGTGTACAATGAACACAGTGGGCAATTTTGGATTTCAGGATTCCATATAATGGATGTTCAAACCGTACACAGTTTGATAAATGGAAAACCCCAAACACCAAAGATACAATCCACCACCAACCCTTCCCCAACACAGTTCACCTACTACCTCCCTCTTAAAATTTACTAAATCCTGCCATCTTGCAGGTTCAGAAGACAAAATTGCGTAGAGGTAGCTTAGGGACTGGTTCGCGGCTGATCTTGAGGGAGAAATCTACCACTTTGGCAGACTGCGTGAGGCATCCAAGGGATACCACGTCAATATTGGGCCCCACAAACTGAGTTATGTTCTCCTCGGTGATTCCTCCACTGGCTTCGATTGTGACATGAGGGAAGGAAGCCTTCAGTGTTTTGGCTGTAGGGTGCAAATCCTGCGGGAGGAAAACAAAGGTCAACAGGAACAGTCAAATCAAACACAATTCTGGGCACCACAATTGAAGGGAGATGTTGACCCTAAGCTGGAATGTGTCCAGAGGAGGGTGACTCAAATGATCAAGGGTCTGGAGAACAAGCCCTGTGAGGAGTGGCTTTAAGAGCTGGGCATGTTTAGCCTGAAGAAGAGAAGGCTGAGAGGAGACATGATGAGGGCCATGTATAAATATGTGAAGGAAAGTCATAGAATCATAGAATCAAAGAGTTGGAAGAGACCTCATGGGCCATCCAGTCCAACCCCCTGCCAAGAAGCAGGAATATTGCATTCAAATCACCCCCGACAGATGGCCATCCAGCCTCTGTTTAAAAGCTTCCAAAGAAGGAGCCTCCATCACACTCCGGTGCAGAGAGTTCCACTGCTGAACAGCTCTCACAATCAAGAGGGAGGAGACGAGGACGTGGAACAATGGCTTCAAACTACAGGAAAAGAGATTCCACCTGAACATGAGGAAGAACTTCCTAACTGTAAGAGCTTTTCAGCAGTGGACTCTACAAAATATGGATCCCAGGATTCAATGGAAAGGAACCAAGCCAGTTAAAGTCATATCAAAGTAATATTGTTGTATAGTGTGGAAATTGTTCCATTTCCTCGTGGTAGGTAGCAGAAACTTTGTGAGTGGTTAGCCATTTAGATTAGTTCCTCACTTCTGGTGTTCTCGTTTTCTTTCTGTCTCTCACATACCAATATTTTGTATTGTGTTTCAAAATGGATAGTAATTTCAGTTTCCAAATCTGTCCCCATCTTATCCTACGCAAGTACCTGAATGGTAAAATTGTCCAACATGATAATATCAGAGCCACATTCTGCTGCTTCAAGAGCCTCCTCCAATGAGCGACACTCAACTTCTACCTTCAGGGCAAAACCTCCGACACGCCGGGCATTATGAACAGCCTGCAAGGAACCAAACCAAGTATTGGACAAGTGTTGCAGTCAGTTCTTGTTGCCGTTTTGACTGGGAAAATGAAAACTTTAAGGTAGTATAGGCACCAGATCCCATCACATCTTGGAAGCTAAGCAGAAGTATTCCCTGGATAGGAAAACTCTATGAAATGAGCAAAATTCAGCCCTCCAGATGTTTTGGACTTCAACTCCCACAATTCCTAACAGCTTCCCAAATGACAAAATCAATCACCCAACCCCACCAGGATTCAAATTTGGGCGTATTGTGTATTTGTGCCAAATTTGGTCCAGTGAATGAAAATAAATCCTGCATATCAGATATTTATATTATTATTCATAACAGTAGCACAATTACAGTAATGAAGTAGCAACTAAAATAATTTTACGGTTGGGGGTCACCACAACATGAGGAACTGCATTAAGGGGTCACGGCATTAGGAAGGTTGAGAAACACTGATGTAGGTGACCCTCCCACTTCAAGGGAATGGAAATTCCAATTAGAGTGTATTCTTTTGAATTAATACTGCCATCACAGGTAACTTTGCTTTAGTCTTGCTCACCTGGGTGATACTTCCGGATGCCCATACGTGGTTGTCCTTCAACATGATGAGGCTCCCCAGATCGTAACGGTGGCAGGAAGCTCCTCCAACCAGAAGGGCATATTTCTCCGCAAGACGAAACCCAGGTATGGTCTTCCTTGTCCCCGCCACCTCTCCATGCCATCCAACTTCTCGTGCTGCCCGGCAGGCTTTGGTTGCCAATGTGGCCACACCACTGCATCGGCCCAAACAGTTCAGAGCCACCCTTTCGCCCAGCAGGATGTCTTTCGCTTGCCCACGGACTTCGGCCACCCGTGTAATGGGTTCCACCCAAACCCCTTCCGACTGGAGCCACTCTACGGAGCAGCCCACTTCGGCAAAGACGGCCTCGAAGAATGGAAAGCCAGCCAAGACTCCCGGGGACTTGCAGAGGAGCACAGCACATTCTGGCCTGTTACCCACAGCATAACCACCATAGTCAAAACTGGGAGCATCTTCCTGCAACCAGTCCTTGGCCAGCTGGCGCAAGCGAGCGGCAGGGAGGAGGTGTGAAAGGTTTGGGTGGGAGGCCATGAAGACTAGAGAGAAGAAACCATGGAGATGTTGACAAAGACATACCAGATCAAACTCATCCTAGTGGCCACTGATGGTGCTCCCTAATAGCAGGAATAAGGGGTGAGTTTTGGTATCTCATCACAGAGCAGGAGATCACCTGATATGATTGTATTGCAGTTCCCAGCATTCCTCATTACTGCATCTACTGGCTAGGGCTGCTAGGAGATGTACTTTGTCCACATTAAGTGAATCTGGACATGATGATCCACGCTCTGGTTACATCCCGAATAGATTACTGCAATGCACTCTATATGGGGTTGCCTTTGAAGACTATTTAGAAACTTCAACTAGTCAAACGGGTGGCAGCCAGACTACTCACTGGAGCAGCATATAGGGAGCATACCACCCCGCTGTTGCGTCAGCTCCACTGGCTGCCGGTCCATTTCCGAGCACAATTCAAAGTGCTGGTCTTGGCCTATAAAGCCCTATACGGTTCCACTCAGCTTACTTATCCAAATGTATTTACCTCTACGTTCTACCTTGTAGCCTAAGATCGTCCAGGGAGGTCCTGCTCTTGGTCCCGCCAGCTTCGCAAATGTGTTTGGCAGGGCCGAGGGACAGGGCCTTCTCGGTCGTGACCCCCCGTCTGTGGAACTCGCTCCCCAGCAAGATTAGGTCAGCTTCATCCCTCCTTTCTTTCAGGAAAACCAAACTCATGGTTCTGGGACCAGGCCTTTGGACAGCAGGCATGGCAGCACTTTGGAGGTTGAACTGGACTGGAAATTGTTATATGGCTGATAATTATGTTTTAAATTGATTTTAACTTACTGTTTTATTTACTGTTTTAAATTGTTGTTATATCTGTTATAATTGTTTTGTACATTGTGGCATCAAATTGTTGCCAGTGTAAGCTGCTCTGAGTCCCCCCCCCCTCTTTGGGGGTAGAGAAGGGTGGGGTGGAAATGTTGGAAATAAATAAATAATAACAAATGTAGCATTACTTGATTTCAGTAAGGCCTTCGACAAAGTCCTCCATGACCTTCTTGCAAGCAAGCTAGTCAAATGTGGGCCAGGCAATGCTACTATTAAGTGGATGTAATTGGTTAAGGGACTGAACCCATTACAGGGTGCTCACCAATGGTTTCTCTTGATCTTGGAAATAAGTGTCTAGTGGAGTGCTGCAGAGTTCGGTCCTGGGCCAGTTCTGCTCAACATCTTTATTAATGACTTGGATGAAGGTTTAGAGAAGGTATGCTTATCAAATTTGCAGATGACACCAAATTAGGAGGGATAGCTGGAGCTCCCGGTGGCGCAGTGGGTCAAAGCCCTGTGCCGGCAGGACTGAAGACCGACAGGTCACAGGTTCAAATCCGGGGAGAGGCGGATGAGCTCCCTCTATCAGCTCCAGCTCCTCATGCGGGGACATGAGAGAAGCCTCCCACAAGGATGATAAAAACATCAAATCATCCAGGCGTCCCTGGGCAACGTCCTTGCAGACGGCCAATTCTCTCACACCAGAAGCGACTTGCAGTTTCTCAAGTCGCTCCTGACATGACAAAAAAAAAGGAGGGATAGCTAATACTCCAGAGGACATGATCAGAATTCAAAATGACCGTAACAGATTAGAGAGCTGTGTTGGGTGAGTGGGCTTATTAACAAAAGACCCTCCTCAAAGTTATCAGCTGCATGATAAAAAAAAGAGAACAAAATGATAAAAAAGAAAACAAAAACACACAGACCAATGTTATCTCTTCCATAGGAGGCTTTTCTTTGTAGCAAAACAATATGGTTGCACTATTTACAAGAACTAAGTTTCCATAACACAAATAAACAAATACATCGTAGCTTTACATGCAGCAGCCTTCACACTGGAGCTTTCTCACACGGGACTTCTCACACACAGAGGCTTACCTCACACTCTTCAAGATGACACTAACTTTGGTCCACTAACTCTAACAGTCTTGGCCGACTAACTCTTTCAGGGCTTCACTCACACTTTTGTGATCAAAAATACCTAGTTAATATTTAATATTTCTGACAAGCTGGGCCAAAACTAACGACATAAATTTCAACGAGGACAAATGTAAGATAGTACACTTAAGCAGAAAAAATGAACTGCATAGATACAGGATGGGTGACGCCTGGCTCGACAACAGTCCGCTTGAGAAAGATTGTGGACAACAAGTTGAGCATGAGCCAACAGTGTGATGCAGCAGCTTATAAAAGCCAATGGGATTTTGGGCTGCATCAAAAGGATTATAGTGTTTCTAGATTGAGGGAAGTCATTGTGCCTTTGTATTCTGCTTTGGTTAGACCTCACCTGGAATACAGTGTCCAGTTCCAGGCCCCACAGTTCAAAAGAGATATTGACAAGCTGGAAGGCGTCCGGAGAAGGGCAACTAAAATGATCAAAAGTCTGGAGACAATAAATCCCTCTGAGGAGTGTCTGAAAGCTGGGTATGTTTAGCTTGCAGAAGAGAAGGTTGAGAGGAGACACAATAGTTATGTATAAATATGTGAAAATATGCCATATAAAAATTAATGCTGGTGTCTCAACAAACTACAGCTCCCCTAATTCCATAGCACTGAGCCTTGGCAGTTAAAGTAGTATCAAACTGCATTAATTCTATAGTGTAGATGCACCCAATGAATTAAGACTAGGTGCACTTCCCATTTATCTACAGTTAAGAGAAAAGAAGAGACAATAAGGCAGGATTCCATTGCTTTCCATTTAATGATCCTTTTACGCCTTCCATGTCCAAAGGGACTTGAGTTGCAGCTAATTTTAAAAAGGCCAGTGTGCCGGTCACTTACCCAAAGAGCCAGGCTCCACGATGTCTCTCTGCAACTTCTTCCTCTTGCACAACTGGTTGCACGAGACACATTTCCTGCATTCCTGAGGGGTGGGAGGCAGCCCTGTGAGGGGTGGGATTAGGGAAACAATCAGGATTTTTTTGTGTAGTTTTTTGCATTTTGGCACTTTGGACCCCTCACCTGTTTACTTGCAGAAATGGCCTTTCTCCCCCACAAGTCACAGCTGCAGCTCAAACCGAATGTAAACTTTACTTCGCAAGCCTTGCAGATTCCTATCTCTCACAGAAATGAAGAAACAGACCTCTAGACAACTTGGAGTGCATCTACACTGTAGAATAATGCAGTTTCACGCCACTTTAATTGCCATGGCTCAATGCTGTGGAATCCTTGGAGTTGACGTTCGGGAGGCAACAGCCCTCTTTGACAGAGAAGGCTAAACACCTTGTAAAGCAACTCCCCTGATTCCATAGCATTGAGCCGTGGCATTTAAAGTGGTGTCAAACTGCATTAATTCTACAGTGTGGGCATACTCCTAGAAACATTCAGAAAGCCACAATTAAGGCTTCTCTTCCAGAGCTCAAATTAGTTAATTACTCAACAAAACAGCTGATAACGGAACCCGAGGCCAAAGTACATGAGCCATAGCCTGTGTGTCCGAGTTTGCTATTTATTTATTTACTGTATTTATACCTCGTCCTTCTCACCCCTAAGGAGACTTAGAGAAGTTTACAAATTATGGAAAAAAAATAAATTATGGCAACATACACACAACAATAAAAATACCATATCAAATAATAAACAGTTAAAACATATAAATACAATAAAACAGTTTTAAGACATACATAGTGCAGAGTCTTGATGTTCCATACTACTTGGTTTTCCCATAGTCATTATTCAAATGATAGGTTGAGGTTGAATTCCATATTACCCTACTCCTTAAACGCCTGTGTACAAAGTCAGGTCTAACTTTTTCTTGAAGACCAGGAGGGAGGGGGCCAGTCTGATGTCACTGGGGAATTCCACAGCCGAGGCACCACCACTGAGAAGGCCCTGTCTTTCGTACCCACCAATCACGCTTATGAAGAGGGTGGGACTGAGAGCAGGGCCTCTCCAGCTGATCTTAAAACTCTAATTGGCTCATAAAGGGAGATACATTTGGACAGGTAAGTTGGACCACAACCATTTAGGGCTTTATAGGCCAAAGCCAGCACATTGAATTGAGCCGGGTAGCAAACTGGCAGTCCGTGGAGCTGACGTAACAGGGCATTGTATGCCGTTCCAGTAAGAAATGTAGTTGCCGCCCATTGGACTACTTGGAGCTTCCAGACAGTCTTCAGAGGCAGCCCCACACAGAGCACATTGCAGTAGTCTATTCAAGACGTAACAAGAGCATGGACCACCGTGACCAATTCTCAAGGTACAGGCACAACTAGCACATAATTTTAATTGTGCAAAGCTCCCCTGGCTACTGCTGAAACCAGGGGTGCCAGACTCAGCAATGAGTCCAGGATCACTCCCAAGCTGCGAACCTGTGTCTTCAGGGGGAGTGTAACCCCATCCAGCACAGGCTGTAACCCTATACCCTGGGCCGGGTTTTAGAACAGCTGGTAAATCACCAATAACAATAAGATCTACCAACCGAAAGGTTGGCAGTTCGAAGCCCCAGGTCGCTGTGAGCACCCAACTGTCAGCCCAGCTCACTGTTTACCTAAGCAGTTCGAAAACAGCTTAGAGCTATACGTAAAGAAATTATGTACCTCTAAAAAGCAGAGGAGCTATTTTACAACACCATAAAAGAAAAAGATCAGAAAAATGTCTGATGACCAAAAGAAAGGAGGAAGTCCTGATGGCTCTTCATCATAGAGGATGGAGCAATAGCACCCCTCTGTGGCTGGATTCGAGCACAACCTCCAAGGCGCCAAAAAGCTGGACGTCGACACAACATACCTCCTTTCTGTTTCTGTCCTGTCTGTCCTAACGGCGTTATGCCGTGTATATGTACTGTGATCTGCCCTGAGTCCCCTTGGGGAGATAGGGCGAAATATGAATAAAGTGTTTATTATTATTATTATTATTATTATTATTATTACTATTATTCACCATTTCGACTGATCAGGAGTACCTCCATCTTGTCTGGATTCAATTTCAATTTGTCCACCCTCATCCAGACCTCATCCATTTTTGCTAAAAGTTCCAAGGTTTTCCCATAAATTGGATCTACACTGCCATATAATGCAGTTCAAACACTGTCATATAATGCAGTTCAAACTGCATTTCATGGCTGTGTAGACCCAGCCCAAGATGATGATGCTGTGCCTATAAGAGCTTGCCAATCAAAAATTAAGCATAGCAGGAAAACCTTACCCTTCCACACTAGACAATTATAGCACTTTGATACCACTTTAACTGCCATGACTTTTATCTGTTGGATCCAGGAATTTGTAGTTTTGTAAGATATTGAAATTCTCTGCCAAAAAGCTTTAGGACATTCCCCAATCACAAACTCCAGTTTTTCATTAGATGGAATCATTGCAGCTAAAGTGGGATAATACTGCTGTAACTGTATAGTGTGAATGGGTCCTTTGTCCCATTTTTAAGGCAGCAAATTGTCTTCCTCTCATATATCGTCTCAGTCTTTCAGTTTCCCTTATCCAGATGTATTTGCATTTTCTCTTTAATGTTTGTGAACAATCTTTTCCTGCAAATTATACATGCAAACACCATCTGGGTCATCACGTTTCCTATTGGCTGCTCTTGCTGCCAGTCTAAAGAATAAAAACATTGCCTTGTCCCGCCCCTTCTTTCCATCCCTATTGTGTACAGTGATCTTCACAAAGCCTGCCTCCAGCAGCCTCTGATTGGGTGACAGATGCCTCCGTCATAGCCGTGTTATCCAATTAGAGCTCACCTGAATGCCTACTTTTTGATTGGTGCGCATTGGGGTTCTATCTGTGTGTTGAACCCGGGAAAAAAAACCACGTGGCTCGTTGAAAATAAGTGTTTTTTTTTGCGTGGATTTTTTCCCATTAGGTGATTCAGTGCAATTAAGGTAGGTTATGTTTGTGATTCTTTCTGCTGCTATTTCTTGCTTCCTTGTGTAATTGATCCATTATTTGTATTTAAATAATTTTTATTAATTATACTATAAACACAATAAACACTATCAATATAAACACACTGAAATTAGTAAATACTCCTCAAACGCCTTCAGCTTAGTTTTCTCAATTCTCATCTTTGTTGTCTAATCATAGTTTTTTTAAAACCACAAATATATAAATTGTTTTTGGCATGAAATTAGATATTTACCTTTAAAAAAATAATATAATCTGCTGTATTATCCTCTTATATAGGACAAAATTCATTTGACTGCTTCCAGACTCTGCCCCAAGCTAACCAATTACAGATTGTGATGCCATAACATTTCCCAATCTCACAGATCAAAGATATCAATCTATTAATTCTTCTCAGTTCTGTTTGCCTTATCAATGCTCTTCTTTTCTATTATTAAACTATTATTTGTTATAATTCTATTTATTTATATACCCCTTTTCAAAGAGACTCAAAGCAGTGAACAGTGGTAGAAACAATAGAAGTTATATCAGGCATGGGCAAACTTTGGCCCTCCAGGTGTTTTGGACTTCAACTCCCACAATTCCTAACAGCCTATCGGCTGTTAGGAATTGTGTGAGTTAAAGTCCAAAACACCTGGAGGGCCAAAGTTTGCCCATGCCTGGGTTATATCCTGCCTTATCTCCTGTCTCTCTCTTTGGGTGCATCTACATCATTGTTTCTCAACCTGGGAGCCGGGACAACTGGTGGGGGGGTCGTGAGGGGGTGTCAGAGGGGTCACTAAAGACCCCTCTCACAAACATAACCTACCTGTTGGTCATGGGAATTCTGTGTGGGAAGTTTGACCCAATTCTATCATCGATGGAGTTCAGAATGTTCTTTGATTGTAGGTGAACTATAAATCCCAGCAATTACAACTCCCAAATGTCAAGGTCTATTTTCCCCAAACTCCACCAGTGTTCGCATTTGGGCATATTGAATATTCATGCCAAGTTTGGTCCAAATCCATAATTGAATCCACAGTACTCTCTGAATATAGATAAACTACAACTCCAGAACTCAAGATCAGTGCCCACCAAACCCTTTCAGTATTTTCTGTTGATCGTGGGAATTCTGTGTGCCAAGTTTGGTTCAATTCCATCGTTGGTGGAGTTCAGAATTCTCTGTCATTATAGGTTAAATATAAAACCCAGGACCTACAACTCATAAATGTCCAGGCCAATTTCCCTCAAAACCCATCAGTATTCAAACCTGGCATATCAGGTATGCATGCCAAGTTTGGTCCAGATCCTTTTTGTTTGCATTCACAGCGCGACTACAACTCTCAAATGACATAGTCCAGTGAATGAAAATACATCCTGCATACCCTATATTTATATATTACAATTCATAATAATAGCAAAATTCCAGTTGTGAAGTAGCAACAAAAATAATTTTATGGTTAGGGGTCACCACAACATGAGAAACCGTATTAAGGAGTTGCAGCATCCGCTGGGAAGTAGCAACCAACAGTGAAAGGACCAAGGCAGAGACATCTCCAGCTCATCCTCTGTTTGGATATCAGCCAGCACGTCAACGATTTAAATCAAGAAATAGTTTTCTAAGATCTACAGAGACACTCGCTGGAACACCTCAGCAAGCGAGAGTCCAAAAGTGGCAGGCTCAAACCTAGAACCTCAATCAATGGCTGATACCAAATGAGAGACTCCCTGGGCACACAGAAAACTGGGCAACTTGGACGGCACAGAACAGACTGCACTCTGACACCACGAGATGCAGAGCCAACCTTAAGAAATGGGGCTACAAAGTGGAATCCACGACATGCGAGTGTGGAGAAGAGCAAACCACTGACCACCTGCTGCAATGCAACCTGAGCCCTGCTACATGCACAAGAGGACCTCCTTGCGGCAACACCAGAGGCACTCCAAGTGGCCAGCTTGGAGGGCATTTAATCAACTACCAAGCTTGCAAATGTTGTGTTTTATTTGTTTGTTTGTTTAAAAAAATGCAATGCAGCTGTTTGGTCTGCCCCTGACACGATAAATAAAAGCACAAGGAAGATTGCGCACTAGGAAGGAAGCAGTGAACAGTGGTAGAAACAATACAGGTTATAGCAGGCAAAGGCAAACTTTGGCCTTCCAGGTGTTTTGGACTTCAACTCCCACAATTCCTAACAGCTGGGAGTTGAAGTCCGAATCACCTGGAGGGCCAAGGTTTGTCCATGTCTGGATTATATCCTGCCTCATGTCCCTCTCATTGGGTGCACCTATACTATAGAATTAATGCAGTTTGGACACCACTTTAACTTTAATGACTCAATGCTGTTGAGGCCTGGGATGTGTAGTTTGGTGATACACCAGCAAATATACCCAGAGATGGCTGGAGAACTTGTGAAACTACAATTCCCATGATTCCATAGCATTAATCCATGGTAGTCCCAAGTGGTGTCAAACTGCACTAGTTCTGTAGTGTAGATGGCACTCCTTATTCTCACAATAACATTGCAAGGTAGGTCAGGCCGAGAGAAAAGACACTCGTTTGGGTCTTTAAATCATTCACTTAGCTCAAGGATTTCTTGGTTGAGAAAGCGTAATTTCACCAAGGTAATCCAGTGGGCTTTGTTGCCAATACGTGGGGATCCAAACTCTGGGTTATAGGGTGCATCTACACTATAAAATTAATGCAGTTTGAAATAATTTTAATTGCTGCGGCTCAGTGTTACGGAATCCTGGGAGTTGTCGTTTGGCGGGACATCACTCTTTGGCAGAGAAAATTTAAGACCTTCTAAAATTACAACTTTCTGCTGAACTTGCTGACCGGAATCTGTGGGACAGGGTGAGCTCCTATTGTTAGCTCCAGCTTCTGCCAACCTAGCAGTTCATAAACATGCAAATGTGAGTAGATCAATAGATACCACTTCGGCGGGAAGATACGGTGCTCCATGCAGTTATGCCAGCCACATGACCTTGGAGGTGTTTATGGACAACACCGGCTCTTCGACTTAGAAATGGAGGTGGGCACCACCCCGGAGTCGGACTCAACTAAACTTAATGTCAAACCTTTACCTTAAAACTACAACTTTCAGGATTCCATAGCATTGAACCATGGCAGTTAAAGTGATGTTAAGCTGCAATCATTCAATGCCAACCAGACTGCAGGGACTTGTAGTTCAACGGACCACATGATTCCCGCCCTTGGTTTTAATATAGTCAGCCTGTCCCCTTTCCTTCCAGGTCTGCAATGATGGCATCGTGCAAGAGAGACAAAGAAGAGGAAAAGTACTGCAGAGACTGGGAGAAGGAGAAGGATTTGAAGGACTGGGTTCGGCCAGTTATGGGAGATGAGAGATTGGCGGCCTGCAGGGTCTGTAAGTCTGAGATGAAGGCCAACTATGATGTCCTCCAGCAGCACATGGTCACCAGCAAACATCAAACATTTGCTATGCCAGGATGTGCGACGGCCCTTGATAATACGGGACTTAGTGTTTCAAAGAATTCTAGTAATACCTCGATGGAGACCAAGGTAATGACTGGCGTCTATGCCTTAATGAATTGTGTGTTTGCATAATAATAATAATAATAATAATAATAATAATAATAATAATAATAATTCATTTATTATTAGTCTTCCCTGCCAAAGAGTGCTGGGGCCTCACCAAGCTACAACTCCCAGAATTCCATAGCATTGAGCCGTGGCAGTTAAAAGTAGTGTCAAACTGCATTAATTCTACAGTGTTGTAGATGCACTCTCAGTGTTTCATAAATGCAAATGTATATTAATTGGTAAAAACAATTTTTCCTATAAGGTAAAGATAAAGATTTCCCCTTACATTAAGTCTGCTCATGTCCATTTCTAATCCGAAGAGCCGGCATTGTCCATAGACGCCTCCTAGGTCATGTGGCCAGCATTACTGAATGAAGTGCCGATACCTTCCCACTGGAGTCAAATTGATCAAGTCACATTTGCATGTTTTCAAACTGCTAGGTTGGCAGAAGGTGGGGCTAACAGCGGGAGCTCACTCCGTTCCCCGGATTCGAACCACCAACCTTTCGGTCAGCAGCTCAGTGTAGTATTATTGGTTTACCGTATTTATACCCCACCCTTCTCACCCCAGAGGGGACTCAGAGCGGCCTTAAAATGGGTAACAATTGGATGCCACATAAAATAAAATAAACAAATTTATTAAAATCCAAAACATTAAAAAATCAACTTTAAAACCAATATATAAAATGTTAAATGGTTGCACAAGGTATTTCATCACCACTACAGGAATCATCAGGCTCCTTAGATTGGTTGAAAGTAAAGGATATTTTTTCTTATTAATATTTCTGAACAAGAAAACTTTTGTAAATTCCTATGTGTGTAAATATGCAATAAGCTAGGCATCTAATAATTTTTGTTAAAGGTAAACATATCAGTATAAAATGATAAAACGTACCATTCTACATTTTTATCTTAAAAGTCAGAGTTTGTGTTGGCAGTATCTCAAATTGCTTCCAACTCCACCCTAGTTTTTGCACCCTTTATCCCATCCAAATTGCCCATTTTTTAATGACAAAAGGAATTACATATGTTGGAAGTCCTCAGAAGAGTCAAACTAGTGTTGATGCATAGTGACCCTTATATTTCTAGTTCTTTTTACTTCCCAATTAAGATTAGGAATCAAGAAGATTAAAATACCAAAGTTTAGTTCTGGAGAGTAACTAAGGCAGTGGTTCTCAACCTGTGGGTCCCCAGATGTTTTGGCCTTCAACTCCCAGAAATTCTAACAGTTGGTAAACTGACTGGGATTTCTGGGAATTGTAGGCCAAAACATCTGGGGACTCACAGGCTGAAAACTACTAAACTAAGGGATCTAGGACCAGTCAAGTTGGTGTCAATAAAAAGTGCTGGGGTCACTGTGAGGTCTCCATAAGTCAGAAATGACTTGGAGCATACAACCACAAGAATAAATAGTCTTGTGAACAAAACAGCAGAACTCAGAACTATTATAATAGCTAATGTCTTGGGATTAGCTGTCTAGTGTCACTTTATTCTATGACCCAAAAAGATTCTGGTTTATTGAGTAGGGAATAAGATGCCAGTGCTTGGTCTTGGCCTACTTTGCTGCTAGTTTAGGCTTGCAACACCAAACAGTATGATGTCCAATTTTAAGTTGGCAATAGAAAATGGCAAGAAATATTTTCCTTATGTTTTCTGTTGCTCTGATTTTTCATTCAGGGATTGTGTTCCTCAGCTTGTTCACAGAAGACAAAAGAGGAGGAAACAGATAAGGCATCGGTGCACAACGGGCTCGGGAATGCAACAGAGTCTTTTCGGTTCAGCGCTGAACCCACCTTGGAAGACATGTGAGACACCCTCACTCCACCCCATGCACACCCCATTCACAGTGTCTCTAGCACAGTGGTTCCCAGACTTTTTTTGACCAGGGACCACGCTCCAACATTAGTACCAAAAGGGTTACGAATCCGTTTTTGGTCAACTTTAGATTTGGTTTGGTTATTTGGGGTGCTGATTCAGAAATTTGCATTGAATAGACCACATCGGCTCTAGTTTCTGATACAGAACATACGCCACCCAGTAGTCGCCATCTGCTCACCCACAAAAAACCATATTTAATAAGCCTCAGCACTATAAGACGGTTTCGCGAGACTAGTCACTCTTGTAGTAACAGTAAGGCCACAGACTATATTTTAGTTCTTGCGGACCACTGGTGGTCCATGGACCTGAGCTTGGGAACCACTTCTCTAGGCTCATCCTCAGTTCCTCCCTTTCTTTTGATTTGCATCCTGCAGAATTCTCTTCAGTCTTGAGCTCTGTGTAAATTCTTCCATTGTCCATTCCTGACCTGATCGCTGTCTCTTTGTTATGTTTCCCACAGTCGCAAGCTCCAGATTGCATTTACAGCGGAGCGTGGTTGGGGAAAGTATCACCAACCTCGAAACCTTCTTCTTGCACTCGTTGGGGAAGTTGGAGAGTTGGCAGAACTCTTGTAAGTATGGACTTTAGAGCTGCCGGTTGGACCTTGGAAGTGTTTTGTCTTTCTGGACTACAAGACCAGTTGAGATTTTTAGTCCAGAAGAGTAACATTTCCAAGCTTTGAAACTAATAGGACAAACCAAGTGGTACTTTCTTGGGTAATACCAGAACAACTTTGGGAATATCTCATGGGTCTGTTGAAGCTTTTCTCACACAATGAAGTCATTCCAATAGAAAGTTCCATCCCTTTCCTCATCCACAACATTTTGATTAGGAAGCCAGCCATTTCTTTTTTTAAAGAGATGGATGGTTTGATGGTTTTGACATGGGCAGTGATGGTGGGCAAGTGTTTGTTGTTCATTCATTCAGTCGTTTCTGACTCTTCGTGACTTCATGGACCAGTCCACGCCAGAGCTCCCTGTTGGTCCTCACCACCCCCAGCTCCTTCAAGGTCAATCCAGTCACTTCAAGGATACCATCCATCTATCTTGCCCTTGGTCGGCCCCTCTTCCTTTTTCCTTCCATTTTCCCCAGCATCATTGTCTTCTCTAAGCTTTCCTTTCTTCTCATGATGTGGCCAAAGTACTTCATCTTGGCCTCTACTATTCTTCCCTCCAATGAGCAGTCAGGCTTTATTTCTTGAAGTATGGACAAGTGAAATGATCACAATTTAGTACACATTAATGATATCTCCAGGAATTTATTTTCTACAATCTGGTATGCTTTTCCCCCAGAAGTTACCCGGCCCCTTCTACACTGCCATATAATCCAGGTTATCAAAACCGACAATCCACATTATCTGCTTTGAACTGGATTGTATAAGTGAGGCTAGCTAACTGTGGCTAGCTATAGGGAGCATACGATGCTCCTGTTGAAGCAGCTCCACTGGCTCCCAACAGGTTTCCGGGCCCAATTCAAAGTGCGGGTTATTACCTATAAAGCCCTATACGCTTCGGGTCCAACTTATCTTCGAGACCACACCTCCTATGAACTGGTGCAGGCCTTGAGATCCTCTGGGGAGGCCCTTCTCTTGGCCCCACAGGTGCAAGAGAGAGGGCCTTCTCGGTGGCTCCCCGGCTCTGGAATGCCCCCCTAAAGAGATTAGATCCCCAAATTTCAAAACCTTCCCTTTGAGCCTAAAAACATGGCTATTTACATGGGCCTTTGACCTGGAGTAATGTACTATGGTCATGTGATGATGTCAACCATTGTTATTCGGCGCTTTAGTTCATGTGTGGAGAAACACAAGTATGACTGTGTTTTAGAATTTTTAATTTTTTAATGTTATTGATTGATGTTGTCCATTGTTTATATTCAGTCAAATTGTGTATTGTTTTGATGATATGTCATTCTATAAGTCTACACTGCCTATTTATAATCCAGTTCAAAGCAGATAATCTGAATTTTATATGGCAGCGTAGAATGGGCCAGAGAGTCACACTAGAGGACTTCTCTGGGAATCTCTCGATTCTCCAGTGCCAATCTAAGGTGTGCTGGGACCAAACGTCAGGTAATTTAGTGGCATTAGTTGTATCCACCATTTCATGTAATCCGATCTGTCTGAGAACATATTCTTTGCAAATATGGGGTTACTGTATTGTCAAATCCTCTTTAAATGGAGGTGTTGTGTTTGAATGCTATAACTTCCTAATGTTATGTTTAATTACTGTAAATCTGATAGTCATTTGCCATTTATGAAGGAGTTGGAGCCTGGCTAGAAAAATAGCGGAGTTAGTCATTTGGTGTACTGCCTTTCCAGCCCTGCTTTTGGAGCCAAGAATATGATTTCCATGCAGGAATGAGGCCTATTGTCTGTCTGTCCCTTTCAGAAATCCAGAGCTCCTGCCTTCTGAGCTTTTCTTGCTCCCTGTTTAACTGGAGTCTTCACCTCCATGTTTTTGTCTCTTGTCTTCAGCCAATGGCGGGAGGACGCCCCCGAAGGCCTGCCAGGATGGACGGCCTCCGAGCGCGAAGCCCTCTCTGACGAACTCAGCGACGTCCTCATTTACCTGGTGGCCCTTGCCAACAAATGCCGCGTGGACCTCCCCACAGCCGCCCTCCAGAAGATAGAGAAGAACCGCCTCAAGTACCCTGTTGAGCAAGTCTATGGGTCGTCAAAGAAATACACCGAGTATCAGAAAAAATGAGTCGTCTCCGCCTCTTCCTCACGAGAGAGAAAGGCATCTGCTGCTTGTGGAACATGCAAAGCCATGTTTTTTTGAAGATGCAAAGGATGTTATGACTTGAATCATGCCCAGATTAAGGCCCCTTCCACACAGCTGAATAAAATCCCACATTATCTGCTTTGAATTGGAATATATGGCAGTGTGGACTCAGATAACCCAGTTCAAAGCAGCTATTGTGGGATTTTTTTTTTGCCTTGATATTCTAGGTGATATGGCTGTGTGGAAGGGCCCTAACTGGTCAGAGTATCCTATCCTTCATTTTTAGACTTTTTAAGTGGAGACTTGCACATTCAAAGATCCTATGTGCTGTATATAGTGTAGATATCTGTTGCTGCTATTTCCTTATCTCCTGTGATTCTTCAGATGAACAGCCACATCCATAGCCATTATCTCATGGGATTTGGAGTCCAGTGAGATCTGGAGGAAAGAAGCCCTGCCTTTAGCCTAAAACATGAGTAATGTGGGTGTAAGTGGCCTCCTGATTAGGGACAAACTAGGGCCCCTTCTACGCTGCCGTATGAAATTCAAATTATCTGCTTTGAACCGAATTATATGCCAGTGTAGACTCATATAATCCAATTCAAATCAGATAATCTGTATTTTATGGTAGTATAGATCTAGCCTTAAAGTTTTCAGTTTTTCACATCCTTTTGTAGCCAAAAGACTACAAAACAAAAGGAAGGCATTTTGTCTCTAGATCAGTGGTTCTTAACCTGTGGGTCCCCTAATGTTTTGGCCTTCAACTCCCAGAAATCCTAACAGTTGGTAAACTGGCTGGGACTTCTGGGAGTTGTAGGCCAAAACATGCGGGGACCCACAATTTGAGAACCACTGTTCTAGAGAGTTTTTTTGACAAAAATACTGTGTGATGAGTGGTTTAAAAAGGTTTAAAAGGTTTTAAAAAAACCTTGAATGTATAGCAGAGTAACTTATCAGCAGCAGTGTTACCCAGCACCAGTAGCCAAAGTGATAAAAAGAAACAAAAACACAGAAACCAATGTTATATCTTCCTTAGGAGGCTTTTCGTTGTAGTAAAATAATATGGATGCACTACTTAAAAAATGAGGTTTCCATGACTCAGAGAAAGTTCAACCTTCACACTGGACCTTCACACAGTAGTGTTATACACAAGGCCATCGACCTGGGGCTTCTCTCACTGAAGCTTTTCACAACCGGCCTTCTCATACTCTGTGGCCTTCTTACAGACCAAGGCCTACCTCACACAGAGGCTTCTCTCACAGACTGAGCCCTTCTCACTGACAGATCTTTCTCCCACTGAGGCAAACTAACAGAGAGGCCTACTAAGCTACAGGCACACCTGTTTATATAGAACTGCAGCTGTTACTGAGTCATTGCATAAATTTAACCCTTTCAGTGCTTGACTCACATCTTTGTAATTAAAAATACCAAGTTAATTTTAAATATTTCTGACAAATACTGGCCCCTGTATGCTGTTTTCTGTTTTTCCTCCAGTAGTATGAACACAATGCTCATAAGAATACATTTTTGAGGGAAAAGGTGGCTGGGAGAGGGTAAACTCCCCCTTACCTAGCTAGTTTTCCTTTTTTTTTCTTCCAAAAACCAAGAATGTATTATGTCTCTTCTGTGTAATGGCCCATTTAACCTGGAACGTTTAAGCAAGGCTTCTCCAAATTCTAATTTTGCTTCCTTTGCCAGCAAATACTAGAATTGTTTGGATTCTGATGTTGAGATGTGAGTTTAGATATACTGTTTCCATATGATTTCTTGATAATGTGGACTATTATACTGACACTCTTTGTTCATCTCTATGGGTATTATATAAATAACCAGAATGCATAAGTGTAATCCCAGATTAGGGGAAAGTTTAGGAGAGAAATACCTGTTTGGTGAATGATAGACAGAGGATAACCATTTCGTGAGTGATATCTTTGGGAGAATTTATGTACAAAAAGACCTGTTCTGGAGTCTTTCAAGTTTGTAAAGCTTTATAAAATATATTTTATTTTCACTGACGATCACTGTCTGTGTGCTGAAGCCATATTATTCCAAGGGGAGTACACTGCTGTATAGCATGGATACACTATGCAAGAGAGAGCGGTTCATCCACTGGAAAGTGGTGTCTTTCCTTTCCTCAAAGGCAAAGAGTTCCCCTTGACACAGACGTTGCCAAAGCTCATGGACCTCCAGTTCTGGCCTTGCCGTGCCAATCTCTGCTTGGATTTCCATGACAATATGAGAGCTGTGTTGTGTCTTAGAGGCTGTCGCTCTGTTCCCCCTGGCTCTGCAACATCTGCGCCTGCATTTTCTGTAGCATTTCCTGCATCCGACGGAGCTGAACAAAAGAAAGCAAGACATTTTGATATTGTACCTGCCTTGGCTGTAGACAGTTGCTTAATCAATTTATGAGTGCTCCTGAAATGGCTTTCATTGCATTTACTCAGTGCACTGCTGAGTTAATGTCGTGAAATCCATTTCGTCATGTTTTGCATCCTCACTAAAAAAAAACCCGATTTGTTTAGTTTGTTTTCAAAACCAGGAGAGATTAGAAGCTCACTTCATTGTTTTGTTTTTAGAAAAAGCTGGAAATAAAATCATTTTCCTAATGTATATTACTTTGAAAACAGAATTGCCTCTTTGAGAGACTTGCAAAAAATTGAGTTCTTTTTTTTTTTTGAGCAACAAAAAATACCATGAGCTACAAAAACTGGCATAGGCTGCATTTTGCTCGTTTCTGTATCAGGATCTGTATAATGTATTGTCGAAGGCTTTCATGGCTGGAATCACTGGGTTGTTGTAGGTTTTTTCGGGCTATATGGCCATCTTGTAGAGGCATTCTCTCCTGACATTTCACCTGCATCTATGGCAAGCATCCTCAGAGGTTGTGAGGTCTGTTGGAACTAGGAAAAGGGTTTATATATCTCTGGAATGACCAGGGTGGGACAAAGAACTCTTGTCTGTTAGAGCTAGGTGTGAATGTTTCAACTGACCACCTTGATTAACATTTGCTGGCCTGACAGTACATGGGACAATCTTTTGTTGAGAGGTGATTGTATGTCCTTGATTGTTTCCTCTCTGTTGTTTTGCTGTTGTAATTTTAGAGTTTTTTTAATACTGGTAGCCAGATTTTGTTCATTTTCACGGTTTCCTCCTTTCTGTTGCAATTGTCCACATGGATTTCAGTGGCTTTTCTGTGTAGTCTGATATGGTAGTTGTTAGAGTGGTCCAGCATTTGTATTTTCTCTACATAGGGACCACCAAACGCAGCATTGCCCAAACACGAATCAAAGAACATGAAAGGCACTGCAGACTTCTTCAACCAGAGAAGTCAGCCATAGCAGAGCACCAGATGAACCAACCTGGACACAACATATTATTTGAGAACACAACAACCCAAATTATGTCAAATTTCTGAAGAGTTCCAATAAATTCCTTATCTGCCACTTTATTTTCCCAGCCAGCCAGATTCCAGGAGACAATTTCCAGCCCTATTTGTTTTTTATCGAGTCAACCAAAGTTTCTTGTGGATGACTCAAAATGCTCAGGGTTAGTCTTTTCATTAATTTCCCAGTTTTCCCTGTTCTCTCTAATGTTGGACCCACGGTGGCGACCTCCTGAACTTCTTGGGGGGAGGGGGGAAACGGGGGCACATCATTGATTAGGACTGCTCAGATAAGCTCGATCCACTATGTGCCTTCGATGTCCCAAGCATCCGATTTTATTTTCTTTTTGTAGCTGGATGTTATTTGGGTATGTAATGAGGTGGTGCAGTGGGTTAAACCAATGAGCTACTAAGCTTGTTGACCGAAAGGTCGCAAGTTTGAATCCGGGGAGTGGCGTAAGTTTCCGCTGTCAGCCCCAACTTCTGCCAACCTAGCAGTTCAAAAACATGCAAATGTGAGTAGATCAATAGGTACTGCTCCAACAGGAAGGGTATTATCTACACTGTAGAACAGATGAAGTTTGACATGACTTGGGACTGCTATGGCTTAATACTATGGAGTCATGGGAGTTGTAGTTTCACAAGTTCTTCAGCCATCTCTGGGGTACATCTGTTGGTGTATCACCAAACTACACATCCCAGGCCTCAACAATATTCAGCCATGGAAGTTAAAGTGGTGTCCAAACTGCATCTACACTATAGTGTAGATACACCCAAAGAGAGGGACAGGAGGAAAGGCAGGATATAACCCAGGCATGAGCAAACGTTGCCTTCCAGGTGTTTTGGACTTAACTCCTACCAACTTCGGAACTGTGGGAGTTGAAGTCCAAAACACCTGGAAGTCCAAAGTTTGCCCATGCCTGATATAATTTGAGTCGCCCAAGGGCTGAGAAAAGCGGTATATAAATGAAGTAAATAATAAATAAATAAATATCGTTTCTACCACTGTTCACTGCTTTGAGTCTCTTTAAGGGAAAAGGGGATATATAAATAAATAGAATGAGAACAATGCAAATAATAGAAAAGATATAATAGAAAAGGTAATGCACGCTCCATGCAGTCATTCTGGCCACATGACCTTGGAGGTGTCTACGGGCAACGGCGGCTCTTCGGCTTAGAAATGGAGATGAGCACCACACCCCAGAGTCGGACACGACTGGACTTAATGTCAGGGGAAAACCTTTACCTTAATGAGGTGCAGGGTGCCGTGACAGCAATGCCTCCACCTCCTATCACTCCAGCTTCCATTTCTGAGTGTGCTTTCCCACATGTACTGTAAAGATGCTGGATGCTTGGGGTGCCAAGGCCTGTTTTCATTTTGTGGTTGGTTTAGTCGAAGCAGTAGATCTTCATTGAGAGTATGTATTAAAGACCAGAATTTGCATCTCACCTTCAGACCCTGGAATGTTAGTTCTATGCTGCCTCTGACCACTCTGTATCAGACGTTTACTGAATACACCGTTATTTAAGTTCAATGTTGCCATTTGCCTATCTTTCTCTTCTCATTTAATTGCCAGTATAGAATTCCTTGTCTGTTGCAACTTTGTTGAATACAAAGTTGCAACACTAAGTGGCTTTGAGAGCAAAAAAAACCCCCACAAGACCTATACCAGGCATGGGCAAATTTTGGTCCTCCACATGTTTTGGACTTCCACAATTCCTACCGGCTGTTAGGAATTGTGGGAGTTAAAGTCAAAAACACCTGGAGGGCTGAAGTCTGCCCATGCCTGTTCCATACACATCTATGCTCCCTTTTGCAGCTCACCTCTTCATCTTTCTCACGAATCAGTTTCTCCGTGTCAGCCAAAGGCAGGAGTGGCATCTCTGTGGCACTTTGACGGGACAGTTTCCTGTGAAGACAAGAGGGAGCTTGTGATCCAGTCCAAGAGACTGAGCTATTCTTTTGTTAGTTTCATTGGATTGGTGATGGGCTACCTGTCCAAACATATCTCCGTCTACGTCCCACCTCGGAGTTTAAATCTTCTGGGGAGGCCCTGCTCTCAGCCTCATCTCTGTCGCAAAGGTGTTTGGCGGGGACGAGGGACAGGGCCTTCTTGGTAGTGGCTCCCACCTGTGGAATTCGCTCCCTGATGAAATAAGGTTATCTACATCCCTCCTTTCCTTCAGAAGTTAAAAACGTGGACGTGGGACCAGGCCTTCGGGTAATTATGTTGACAATGACAATCATGACAATCGCTATGGAAATGGACTATGGACAAGCTTGAATTCAACTTAGACGAGGCCATCAGGCTATTATATTTATACAGATTTTAATCTAATTGACTTAACGTTTTAATTGTATGTAATTATTGGATTTTATTATGTACTAGCCATCCCTTGCAACACGTTGCTGTGGCCCAGTCTGTGTATATGTGTTTTGTGTGTGCGTTTATGTGGTTTTGTGAATGCATTGTCATGTATTTTTTATTTTTTGGCTTTTAAAGTCTCTTCTGCTGTGTTTTTCAGTATTTTATGAGTGATGGTCACTTGTTGGCCTGATAGGTGTATTGTGTCCAAATTTGGTGTCAATTCGCCCAGTCATTTTTGAGTATGTTAATCCCACAAACGAACACTACATTTTTATTTATATAGATTTATTATGTGCACATTGGAGGCAACGAATCGCTGCTGCCTGGAAGCTGCCCTGAATCCCTGTCCCTCCAGGTGTTGAGAAGGGCAGGGTACAAATATCTGACATAAATAAATAAATAAATAAATAAATAGGACTTCAGGCAGCTTGGGTTTTAATCCCCAGTCCCGGGAACGTATTGGGTAACCTTAGGCAGGCCACAATCTCTCGACCATAGAAGAAGGAAAGCCCTCTTCTGAACAAATATTACTAAGACAAATCTGATGAATTCACCTTAGGAGCAGCATAAGTTGGAAATGACTAGTTCTTCAACAGAAGTAACTCCATCTCTGTATTGTCGAAGCCTTTCATGTCCAGAATTACTGGGTGATTGTGAGTTTTTCGGGCTGTATGGTCATGTTGCAGGAGCATTCTCTCCTGACGTTTCGCCTGCATCTATGGCAGGCATCCTCAGAGGTTGGGGGGTCTGTTGGAAACTAGGAAAATAGGGTTTATATATCTGGAATGTCCAGGGTACTGGCAGAACGTCAGGAGAGAATGCTTCTGGAACATGGCCATACAGTCTGAAAAACTCACAACAATCCAACTCCATCTCTATCAATCTCTTGATTAACTCTTTGGCCTCAGGCCGGAGCCAGGATTTTGATTCGGGGGGGGG